ATCAAATCTTGAATTTTTTTCAAAAGATGCGCTGTGAAAAGTTCTATAAAACCTGAATGATTGAATTCCAGTTACTCTGTTCTAACGGTTTTTCTTATACTCAAAATGAACAACTTACATGACAGTGTCACTTCCCATAATATTGAAAATGGTTGGAACACTTTTTTGTTTCGCTATATGAGTTGGTTCATACAGCTTTTGTAGAGTTTTCAACGGCACATCTTTAAAAAAAATTCAATATTCTATCATTTTCTGAAGTCGATATATATGCAAAACAAAAAGTGTTCCAAATATTTTCAATATTATGGGAAATGATACTGTTATGTAAGTTGTCCATTTTGAGTATCAGAAAAGCCAGTAGAACAGGTAAACTGGAATTCAATCATACAGGTTATGTAGAGCTTTTCACAGCGCATCTTTTGAAAAAACTTCAAGATTTTATCTTCTATCTAAGCAAAGATATATGTGAAATAAAAAATGTTACAATATTATGGACACTATGTAGTAAAAAAAAAATGTTTTTTTTTTTCTACCACATTTTTTATACTTTAAACTGCGTTTGATCATCAACGTAAATATATCAAAAGAAGCAGCGCGCTCCGGGCTTTCTCGCAATATATAGTGAATTAACAAATAAAAGAAGTATAGTAATAAAAACAAAAAAAAACAAAGGAGAGAAATTCATTTGGTCCCAATAGTATTTAGAAAGAAATTAACTATTAATATCTTACTCGTTAAAAATGAAATAGTAGACTCAGTCTGACTTAACTAAACGATTTGCATTGTGAAACAACTTTGGAATTCTCTTGTGACTGATTGTATTTCTCATGCATTGAAGTAATATAACTGGTAACATGCATGAAGCATCTCTTTGAAAAGAAACAATTCAACTTGGATAATAATGGTTGTAATGAAAAATCACTTGTCTTTGACTTTCATCTTGTTTATCCGTAAGATGTTTTAACAGTTCTTCATGTACCACAGCTCAATCAATCTTTTGCTTATTTTTCTTGTTAAATTCAGCTTTTTTCTGTCTTAATGATTACCGACAGAAAAGAGAAGAATTTTCATAAAATTGTTATTCATCAAAAATGTTAGTTATCATCTAGCTAGTATTCTTTGATCTTAATGAGAGAATTAATGTCCGCTACCAGTTATATTCATTCACCACATGAGAAATTCAACGTAGTTTCGTAATGCAGATCGATTTGTTAAGTTACACTTAGTCTACTATTTCGTTTTTAATTAGTAAAATATTAATCATTAATATACTTTTATATGAGTATGATCCTGATTGATCAGAACAAGATGCCAAAAGCGTGATGAGTTATCATGATTGGACTACTTACTTACACCAGTTTCTTAAAGACAAATAAAGGATAATTCTTTACCTATTCTTTTGATCTTCATCCGTGGCAACCTATAATTTCTACAGGGGTCGCAGCGACACTACTTTCCTGATTTTTTAAAAGCGTCCTGATTCATCCTGATTTTGCCCATTTTTCTGATTTTCTTGACTTTGTGTTATACAGCTCGGATGCAACAGTAGTTCGGAAGCACAAAACAGGACTCATTGTCAAGAAAATTTCGTCTCCAATTATAGCACAAATTTTCAGTCTTTGTTTTAGTTGAACTATGAGCGAGATATCGATTTTAGGGTTGATTTGTATATAAGGCTTAAACTTAACGATTTTAAAGCAGTTGGTCTCTTTCGGAAGTAATAAAATTTAGCTCTACTCAACCCTCCACACGTGTTAAAACTACAAGTTTTCTGATCGCTCTCAACGAATACTATATGAACTTCATGTGCATGGCCATCAACGAAACATTGGAAGAAAAGTACCACGCAAAAGTACGATCAGAAACAAGAAATGAGAAGATATGTGTCTCGCAACAACAAGAAGTATGAAAAATGAAATAGACGAACAGATGCGCCTCGTTAAAAAACATGCGTATATTTACATCTTTTCCTGTGTTTCTAAGCAATCCTGATTTTGAGACCCTTTTCCTGATTTTTTCTTCGAAAATTCCTGTCCTGATTCCTGATTTTTCACATGACACCGCTGCGACCCCTGTTTCTATATTTGAATGTTAAAAACTAACACTTGGATGAAGGTTGTATTAATGGATTGCGTTCGTTTTTCTATGTCTCTCCTGTAAATATCTAGGTGTAGTTGTCAGTTTCTGTGCATCTCTATTGCATATAAAAACTTGAATTTCGAAAGTGCATCAAAAAAATACTTTCTATACTCACTTTATTGTAAACTTTTGTTCTAATGTAATATAAAAACTCGACATTTCAACAGAACAATACGCAATTTCATACTCACCAATTACCATAATAAAGATGCCAGAACAAATTTTCTTCTATCATCAATTAGAAACATTAACCACCAAATAGTTCAGGCTTAAATGTTGAACTATTTTTTTTGAAGAAACTTGCTACATCCATCATATGTTAAATAAGCATATAAACAAATTTGACCAAGAATTATTTTTAAAAAATCTTTTATCTTCGAGTTTTCGTTTACACTATGTTTTGAAGAATCATGGATGCTATTTACATTTATAAAAAAATAAACTATTTGTTAGGAAGAGAAAGAATAAATTTTTTTGAAAAGGTTTGAACCGGTGAATATTATAAGCAATATCATTAGCATACAGGAAGACTCATTTTTCATGAAACAACCGTTACAAATACGGCTCAAGCAGCACAACAAGACGGACACACTACATTTTTTTTATTTGTGGCATATGGATATGGATATGGGTGTGGTGCAGAGCCCGTCGGGTCCAACATTTTGAACCCGGATCCGGACCCGCTTCGTTGAATTTTTCTTGGACCCGCACACGATCTTCAAAAAAAAATCAGAACCAGACCCGGTAAATAGAAAATTTTCGGACCCTGACCCTACCCGGACCCGATCTAGTCTGTGTCTGAGACCAAAGCAACGTACTCGATTGAATACAAACAATTTATTTTCAATACTAACAACCAAAAGCAATGAGCTCTTCCGAGAAAACTGAAACTCAGTAAAACTTCGAAAAATATTAGCATATGCATCAAAAATTGTTTTAGACCCGAACCTGCTTTATAGAATATTTCGAGACCCGAACGTGGTTGGGTCCGGGTCTACCCGGTAGGCTCTAGTGGGGTGTGGGGCATGGATGTGGGTGGGTGTGGACGTGGGTGAATGTGAGATGGGGTGTGGATGTGGGGTGAGGGAAAGAACAATATCCATATCCACACCCACATTCACACCCACACCCACACCCATACCCACACCCACACCCACACCCACACCCACACCCATACCCATACCCACACCCACACCCACACCCATACCCATACCCACACCCATACCCACACCCATACCCACACCCATACCCACACCCACACCCACACCCACACCCTACATGTTCGATCTTATAACTTATCTGTACGTACGATTGATGAATAACAGAGAAGAATGAAGTTAAAATTCTTTTGTATTGTTTACAATACACATGAGATCAAGTACAATGATTCAAGGATATTTATTGTCTATTAGTTGAAAAATTTCAAATCGTTGACCAGCAACAACTTCTTCAATATTGTCGATATCGGCAATAAGCGTTTCATGTGGACGAAATGGCTTCAAACTCCAATAATATTTGCTGGCAATCGCAACTAGTTCATCCCAATATCCAATGGTTGGAGAGAAACCGAGAAAGACATGACCATTGGGTGCGAGATAATCACGCGCCTCCTTCATATACCTATGGAAAAGAGAAGTACAGATACTTTAGATTCGAAACAGTTAACATGTTGAATATGGAAAAGAATCTGAAAATCATACTGCAAAAACCTTATTTGTTTTAACAGAATTCTTTAAGCAAATATTTGATTTTCTTCAGAACGTGTTTCTTTTTCTATCTTCATGATGTTATTTTTTTTATTCTTTAATAAGCGCTGTTTATGAATATTTGAAAATAAGCTTATCACTTGCTTTTGTGTCACTGTATTTGTTTGGTGCAATATTTATTCAACATTGTTCTACTGTTGATCTACTTTAGCAGAGAAACGTTTGTATCTATGGATTGCATCTGTCGTGAGATTCACTTCGTAAAATGTGCCATAAAACGAAAAAAATAGTGATTATAGCCAAAACATTCAACAAATTTGATCAGATCGTGAAAAACTATGCAAGAGGATTTGGGTGTGAGAGTGGGCATGGAGTGTGAGTGTGAGGAGTGAGGTGTGACTGTGAGGTATGCAGTGCAGGTTGTGGGTATGAACTGTGAGTGCGGGTCAATGAGTTAGTGGGCGTGGATGTCGGTTTGGAGTTTGGACTTGCAGCGTGAGTGTGGGTATGGATGTCGGAAAATAAGAAAGTAAACACCCAAACCTACATCTTTCACTGTTGGAACAAGAACACTAAAGTATGTTACTCATCGTCTTACTTTTCCACGGCTACATATCCTGGATCAAAAATGGCCCGTTCAAGACTGCTGAGCTCTTCGGGTGGCTTGTTAATGTGTCCGAACGGAAAATTCCAGAATATAAGATCAAACTTATCGTTTTTTCCACTCAGTGCATTGAAAACGTCCCCATGGTAAACTGTCATACGGTTTTCCAGATTATATCGTTTGATATTTGCTTCAGTATTGTCGACAGCTTCTCGAGTAATGTCAGTACAAACGACAGTATGTGCACCATTAAGGGCAGCTAGAATACCATTGTAGCCCGCCGCAGACCCAATTTCTAGTACACGATAAGGTTTTAATTCTTGAATAAGTTTCACCCAAGGTCGAGCAATGAAACGAGCTGATGGAAAAATATCCGGATCGAACACATTAGGTCGAATGAAGAAGTCTAGACCGCACACTTGAACAATCTTTTCCGTTTTTAACTCAGCCGTTTTCTCCAACTTTTGTCGAGCAAGTCCATTACGTACATATTCATTTTCTTCCATGTAACTTCGTCAAAAAGTGATGATAACGTTTCACGTTTTCAAATGCACACAACATACAATCTTTCACATATATATACTTATGTAAAATATCAATTCTATCGTATCATCGTTATCGTGCAGTGTCTTAGAAGAAAACAAAAATAAAAAAAACAGGAACTGATAACATCGCCTATCGTTTTCCTCTCTGACGTGTTGAGTACAAAAATAAGAAAAAGAAGGCATTAGGAGCAATGCAGCATAAGCCAATATTTAGATAAAATTGGCTGCTCTTTCCTCTCGCGTGGTTCTAGGTTTAAAATGGTTTGCTAGCAAAACAGTGCACTATTGGCATACTTCTCTTCACAAGATAAGACAGAAACGACTCCACAGCGTTAAACAATTAAGGGTGTGGGTGTGGGTGTGGGTGTGGGTATCAGTTTGTGACAAAACAAGATCTATTCACATCCACACCCAAAGATCTCTTCATTAATTTAATCGTTTTCAGAAACAAAATGATAACGAAAATCAATTGTTCTAAGGATGACATGCATTTTCATTAAATTCATATTTCAATTTGTAATTAAAATCAAAATATCCACTATTTAAACGGCTTTTATGTTTAGAGTTCTAAAGAAGATGATATGTTTCCAACTATAATTATAATAACGAAAAAACACAATTTTCTAATATATTTTGAGATTGTAAAAAAAACAGTTAAATCAACTTGATCAGTGTAATTAGATTTATCAAGCTGAGAAATTTCTTTTTTCATGGATGAAACTCGCATGATTCGAATGATGTGGCTCAGGATAATGTTTACTAAAAGTGTAACCCCATTTAGTTTCCATGTTAAAT